CCTGCCAATGTTACAGTAGATTGAAAACAGGTGAATCTGGGCTTATGGGATAGAGCTGGACAAGAAGATTATGACAGATTACGTCCCTTATCCTATCCACAAACAGATGTGGTCTTAATTTGTTTTTCTCTCATGAGTCCTGCATCATTTGAAAATGTTCGAGCATGGTGGTACCCTGAAGTGCAACACCACTGTCCCAACACCCCCATCATCCTGGTAGAGACTAAACTTGATCTCAGGGACAACAAAGACGTGAATGAGCGACTGCAGGAGAAGCCGACTCCCATCACTTTGGGATTTGGCCATGGCTAAGGAGATCGGTGCTGGAAAACACCTGAGTGCTCAGCTCTCACGCAGCAAGGCCTCAAGACAGTGTTGGATGAAGCTCTTCGAGGGTTCTCTGCCCTCCAGTCAAGATGAGGAAGAGAAAATGCCTGCTGCTATAAATGTCTGGGCCCCTCTCCTGCCCTGTCCACCTCGGAACCTTTATATGCTTTGCTCAAAAATGGTGGAGCCTTTCACACAATGCCAGGTTTTTGTTACAGATTACTTTTTCCATAAAACCATTTTGAACCAATCATTTTTAGGTTTTATTTGTTTAAAGGGTAAGACTTCAAACTTTTACATTATAGTAAAATTTAGCCCTAAAATGGCAAGCTTTCTTAAAGCCTTATTTTTCAAGAGCTCTTATTCTTGATCAGATTAAGAATTGCCAAAATAGCTTGTGAAGTAAGTTGCATTGTTGTACTGAGAACACTAGGCACTAAGCCATTCAAGATCTTTGTCTTTAAGAGGAGACTACAGGAAAACAGTATGGAGATTCCTCAAAAAGTTAAAAATAGAGTTACCCCTATGACCCAGCAACTGCACTACTGGGTATTTACCCCAAAGATACAGATGTAGTGAAAAGAAGTGCCACATGCACACTAATGTTCATAGCAGCAATGTCCACAATAGCTAAACTGTGGAAGGAGCTGAGATGCCCTTCAACAGATGAATGGATAAAAAAGATGTGGTCCATATATACAATGGAGTATTACTCAGCCATCAGAAAGGATGAGTACCCACCATTGGATCAACATAGATGGAACTGGAGGGTATTATACTAAGAGAAATAAATCAAGCAGAGAAAGACAATTATCATATGGTTTCACTCACGTGTGGAACATAAGGAATAGCACAGAGGATCATAGGGGAAGGGAGGGAAAACTGAAGGGAGGGAAATGAGAGAGGGAGAAAAATCATGAGAGACTATGGATTCTGGGAAACAAACTGAGGGTTTCAGAGGGGATGGGGGAGGGGGACAGGGTAGCCGGGTGATGGGTATTAAGGAGGGAACGTGTTGTGATGAGCACTGGGTGTTATACGCAACTAATGAATCACTGAACACTACGTTAAAAACTGATGATGTACTCTATGGTGGCTAACTTAACATAATAAAAAAAAGACATGTTTATATCACAAAACCTGAAAAACACAGAAAAGTATTAAGAAAATACACAAATCCCCTAAAACCCTAATACCTAAAGATATTTCCTGATTACACTTGGTATATTTCATTACCAAATAAAATCTTATTCTTATTTCTAAAAAAAAAGAAGAAGAGACTACAGTGTCTCATGTTTGGAAACACAGACACTTCCTAACTAGTTTCTGATAAGAAAGCAGCACAACATTTCACAATCATGAAATGTTGCCTTCTAACACACCAGTAATTTATCAGCCCGCATCCATTCCCTAACACTGGACTTGATGTTATAATGGAATGAGTGTAAGGACTCAAAACTCTTTGGATCAATCTTTTTGATTTTGTAGTGAGATTTTTTTAATTTATTTATTTATTTTATGGGGGAAGGGCAGAGGGAAAAGAGAATCTCAAGCAGACTGCGCTGAACAAAGAGCCCTATTTGGGGTTTGATCTCACAAGCCTGAGATCATGACCCAAGTCGAAACCAAGAGTTGGACACCCAACTCACTGCGCCACTCAGGCACCCCTGTAGTGAGATTTAAAAAAAAAAAAACTTAGTGTATAGGCTATTGCTGAGATTTTGAACAGACCTCTTACTCCCACATCCCTCTGATGAAGTATTTGCTCTAGCTGTGGGTGCACTGGGGTGGGGTGTGTGCAGCATGGGAGGTGATCAAAGAATGAAGACAGTTATTTTGACAAAATATGGAGGTTAATTTATACTACATTGGACACATCATAATTAAACTGAGTAGGGGCGCCTGGGTGGCTCAGTCATTAGGCGTCTGCCTTCGGTTCAGGTCACGATCCCAGGGTCCTGGGATCGAGCCCTGCATCGGGCTCCCTGCTCAGCGGGAAGCCTGCTTCTCCCTCTCCCACTCCCCCTGCTTGTGTTCCCTCTCTCGCTATCTCTTCCTCTGTCAAATAAATAAATAAAATCTTTAAAAAAATAATTAAACTGAGTAAAAGTGTCACGGATAAAATTTTAAAAGGTTAATCTCTGTCAAATGCAGTAAATGATAAGGAAAGATCGGTATTATCACTGTTTTAAGCTTTTTCTTAGACCTGCCATCCCTCCTGAAATTGGGCATTTAATTCATCTTTGAACTGGTCATTCCCATAGTTCCTTAGTGCTCTTCTTACAGAATCCCTTCTTAATGAGCAATATGCCTCCTTGTATTATAGAATCTTTCTGATAATGCATTAGAAATTTTTTCTGGAGATTAGTAAAAGTGTATTCTTATTTCCTTGTTACTTTATTCAAAGCTAAGAAGCACTTTACTTAGTTTTCCAGTAACTAGGTGCAAAAATGACATGTTGCAGCTTTATAGTTTTTGAAATATTTTAGGTATTCCTAAACTATGAACTTTCTTAGTATCACTGCCTTGCCAGATCACCAGCACTGTACCTTGACTAATGCTGACCCTCCTCTTGGTCTTACCCCCCTGGGCACACACTTCCTGTTGTTCTGCCTAACCATGTTCCTATGGGTCTGTGAGGTTCTGGAAGCCTGTGCTCGTGCTAATGAAGTTCTGTACAACTTACCCACTGGCAAGAATATAAGGTTGGACCTTTCAACTACTAGAACAACATTTTTTAAATTGACAGTTGTAGAATTGCGGGGTGTTTTTACATTGATCTTTTGCTAATGCAATTAGCAGTATGTTTTGCATGTTTGACTTAATAAATCTTTGAGTCATAAAAAAAAAAAGAAGTATGACAATTGCAAATGTTGAAAAGAATGTGAAGCAACAGGATTTATCCTGTACTACTGGTGGGAGTATAAACTGGTACAACCACTTTGAAAAACAATTTGACATTATCTTTTATTTTTTTTGCATTTTTTTAATTATGTTATGTTAATCACCATACATCATTAGTTTTTGATGTAGTGTTCCATGATTCATTGTTTGCGTATAACACCCAGTGCTCCATGCAGAACGTGCCCTCTTTAATACCCATCACCAGGCTAACCCATCCCCCCACCCCCCTCCCCTCTAGAACCCTCAGTTTGTTTTCCAGAGTCCATGGTCTCCCATGGTTCGTCTCCCCCTCCGATCTCCACCCCTTCATTCTTCCCTTCCTGCTATCTTCTTCTTCTTCTTCCTTTTTTTTAACATATAATGTATTATTTGTTTCAGAGGTACAGGTCTGTGATTCAACAGTCTTACACAATTCACAGTGCTCACCATAGCACCTACCCTCCCCAATGTCTATCACCCAGCCACCCCAGCCCTTCCACCCCCCACCATATTAGACATTTAAATAACCTCTGTTCTATCAGTTTCACTCCCTAGAGTGACATATGGTATGTAGAAGAAACCCATACAAGAATGCTTTTAGAAGGGCTATTCCTAAAAGGAAACAACCCAAATGTCTATCAATAATAAACTAGAGAAAAAAAGTTTTCATATAATCATTCCATGGAACTCACAACAGCAAAAAGGAGTAAACTACAGTTACTTAATCAAAATAGATTAATCTCAGTAAGCTAATGTTATATGCAAAAAGCAAATACTAGATGACAATATACAGTATGATACCTTTTGTAAATTACAACACAATACTACTAAACAAGGTATTGTTTAGACACACATATGTGATAAAACCAACTTAAAAAAATCCACAAGGGAATGATAAATGTGAAATCCTGGATAGTGGTGGCCTCAGAATAAAGGAAGAATATCTAAGTAGAAGAAAATCATTAGTAATATTCTAGTTGTTGGGCTAGGATTGGAAAATATGTATTTTAAAAATAATAAAAGACTAGGGGTGCCTTAAGCATCTGCCTTCGGCTCAGGTCATGATCCCCGGGTCCTGGGATCGAGCCCCATGTCAAGCTCCCTGCTCGTTGGAGAGCCTCTTTCTCCCTGCCTGCCACTCTCCCTGCTTATGTGCTCACTCTCTCTTTCTGTCAAATAAATAAATAAGAAAATAAAATAAAATAAATTAAAAATAAAAGACTAAATAAGAAACGAAATTATCATTAACTATTAAGGATTCCAAATGTTTTAGGAGTTTCATCTGTCATTTACTGCTAAGGAATTACCATATCTTAAAATAAACAGGCTTAATACCTTAGAAATTTCAGTGAATCAGTAAAGCAACTCTTTTTTTTTTTTTTAAGATCTTATTTATTTTTTTGACAGAGAGAGACAGCAAGAAAGGGAACACACGTGGGGGGAGTGGGAGGGGGAGAAGCAGGCTTCCCGCTGAGCAGGGAGCCTGATGCAGGGCTTGATCCCTGGACCCTGAGATCATGACCTGAGCCGAAGGCAGACGCTTAATGACTGAGCCACCCAGGCGCCCCAGTAAAGTAACTCTTGAAATACTTCAACACAAGTATCATTCGTACTGAATGGAGCACTGGGTGTTATATGCAAACAGTGAATCATGGAACACTACATCAAAAACTAATGGTGTAATGTATGGTGATTAACATAACAGAATAAAAAAAAACCTTATAATTATAATACCAAACTTTCTCAGACTTTTTTGCTGAAAAGAAAGAAACAAAGGGGCTTTACAATACCTGATTTCCATGAAGGTCCAAGACATCTAAGCTTTTGAGGTTCTCCAGATTTGAAATTTGCTTGATTCTGAAAATCAGAATAAGTGGAGTAGAAATACAGATGTATCAAACTTATTGTAAATCAAAACATGCTAAGGCATAACTCAAATATGTGTATAGAGAGAGATTATACGTAAATACATATATAAAACAAAAACAGATTTCCCATTGATTTAACTCTAATGGTAAAGATGCAATTCCATTGGGGGAAATGTCCCAAAGAAAGCTTAAAAGTTGTACCTTTAGGAGAAAGCAATTCTACTTCTAAGAACCTTAGGCAAGGCACTTGTTCAAGGCCGTTCCCTTCGGAATATGATCTAAACTCCTTACCTCAGTTCTCAAGGCCCTAAACCTTGTGGCTGCTGACTCTTTGTCCAGGCTTATCTCCTACCACGGCTCAGGCTCTCTCTGCTCTGACCACGGGGGCTTTCTTGCTAGCTCTAACCTGCCAAGTTCATTTCTGCCTGGGGGTGCTTACCCTTGCTGCTCCTTCTTCCTCAGTGTTCTTCACCCAGAACTTGGCACGGCTCACACCCCTTCCTACCCCCATTACCCTCTCCTTCCCCTACTTTCATTGACTTCATTGCACCTATCCTTGCCTCAAATTATATTATTTATGTGTTTACCTTCTTATGATCTCCTTCCTCAAACCAAAACGTGAGTTTCAAGAGTGCAGAAATTTCAACATATTCTCTACTCCATCCCCAGCACTCATAAAAGGGGCTGGCACTGAGTAGGAACCCGAGAAATGTTTGTTTAATGAATAAATAAACATAGACTAACTAAATAGATGAGTTTTATGTACAAGAGTATTCATAAGAGGATTATTTATCACAGACACAGATTAGTCACCACTTAAATGTTTTCTACTGGACCTGCTCAGTTTGTGAATATTTGGAATTTTTGATTTGCCATCTTGTCAAAAGCTAAAACATTGCTATAAATTTTAAAACACAGCATTTTATCTCTAAAATGTCCCTTCTTGTATTCCTTAAGGATTAGGGCCCATCCATTGCCTCCCTCGTTCCTGTCTTTTCTGGCTACCTTACCTGTCCAACTGCCCCCAACTGGACAGTTCAAACAAAACAAAACAAAACAAAACAAAAACTACTTCCCTTTTATATTTTCCCCTCCTACAGATCCTACTTTCTCCTACTGCCATAATTCAGTAAAAACAAAGGAGCAATGGCAAAGAAAGGGTAGAAATGCAGTTCGTGCAGTCCATCTTGATCATCATCTGCCTATCGCTATTGATTTCTGTTGCCACTGCTTACTGCCTCAAAGAACCATTCCTACCTTCCTAAATGTTTCCAGAACCTGGATCATCCCTTGAAACTTCACATATGCTGATTAACATGTAAACATCATACCAGTTTAAACTTAGAGAATTTCCATCTCCACGTGACCTCAGCCATTACATCATTGCCAAATCTAGAATTATATCACCACAACCAATTCAATCCAATTTGGTGTATAAAAATATTTATCATACACCTACTATGCCGCATCACAATATGACAGCAGTTCTTCTCTCCCTTATCTCTCTCTCTCTCCCTCTCTCTCTCTCACACACACACCACTCCCCCATCTTATCTTTTGTTCTTCCTATCCCTATTTTTCCTTAGTATATTAAAGGAATTTCTCAAGCTTATGCTGACACTATCAGATAGGAAAACAGCCAAAACTGTTAACAAAGTTATTCTTCACCTGCTTTGCTCTTGAAATACCTAGTACATCAGAGCCCATCTCTGCAGGCTACATTATGATACTGAGGCCTGCATAAGGACCTCACTGCAGAATCTATATGAAGGCTAGGCTTTTCAGGTGTTAGAGACAAATCCTTAAGTGGAGACCTTCAAGGAAGTAATAGAAAAGGAATATGGAATCCCAGAGGCTGGTGGAGAGTTTTGTATCTATAGTCCTGGGTGATCAGGAAAAAAATGCATAGAAGGTTTACCTGTTAGCCTGTGGTCATGAGGGCACCAGAAGATCTCACAAGGATAAACAGGAACACAGAAAGCAGAAGAGTGAGATGGCAAGAACTTCAGTAGCACAGTGGTCCAGAAGGACTGGGCGTTCTTCGGTAGCAATGCAAAGCTCATATACAGAATCTGAGCACAGTCGTTTTAGCTTTGGGGCAGAAATCTTTGTTGGAGCTGCTTGAACTTAGAGGAATGTGGTTGCCCTGGACTGTAACATCTGGCTCCATTGTTTTGGACTAAGATGGTGCAGGGGTTCCCAAAGTGAGAGGGAGAAAACGTCCCGGACTCGCCCAGCAGGGGGCAACAGTTCATCCAAGACAAACCTGGAGAGGCAGGGTGGCAGAAGAGCTGCTCTCTCCTCCCGCATTTCTCAGCCAGATTTGCCTAAAATTCACTAAAGCACTGCCTCAGGTTAGATTCATATCTTCAAGACACACAGCTGACCTGAGAACACGGAAGATGTGCATTGTTCTGATACTTCAGAAATATGCATTTTGGGAGAATGTGGAAAGTTGTCTTTCTGACTTTCTTTTTTATTCGAGGACACTAACAGCTCCAAAATTGCTTAATGGCTATTTTCTTTATGTGAAGAATAAAGTAAACCATGACCAAATGCAAACAAAATGAACAAAAAGATGAAGTAGAAAGAGGAAGAAGAGACTGCATTAGACTGCTTTTACTTGGCCAAGGTAAGGATACAGAAAAGAGCATTAGGTCCCTTAGACCTGGAGGAGCAGAGACCTCTGGAAAGGTCAGAAGGTCAGAAGGACTGGTGTCTTTGATCCACAAATTATTTTTTAAAAAACTTAAAAAGGTTATTTCCAAGAAGCCAGAGAAGCTGCAAAGTAGAAGCAGGAAGAAAAGTAGATTGAGAGTTGATTTAAAACACTGGGACCCAGGAGCAGCTCTTAGACACTATGTTTAAAACCAGCAAAGGAGATTAAAAATGCCACCAGGAAATACTGAAGGACTGAAAGAAGTGCATAAGGCAGTAGTGCCAAAGAATAAATGGAAGCTACACAAACAAATAAAAAACTCCAGGGATCAGGAACTAGTTAAGAAATCTCTGGAAGAGACAACAGGGAGCACCTAGAAGGGAATGCCTTAAATGTATGAAAAGTTGACATCTTACTTTATCTCACTCAACTGCTCCGCTGGGGTACTCCTACTGTGTACAATTTATACATATCTAACCTTGCAAAAGTCCCTTTACATCTCCATTTCTTCATTTGTGAAATGAGAGAACTGATCTCTGAGGTCATTTTATGCTCTAAGACTCCGTGCTCCTATAATTTCCCCAAATTCCCCCCAGCCACCATAATGCTCAGTTTAATGCTTGAACCAAGTATAAACGATAAACTACATTGGTGGGAACTTCCAAGACACCACAGAGAACAGACAAGAGCCTAGGATTCTGGGGCATGATCTTGGAAAAAGTACCCTATATTACCACTGGCCAGTGAGAATAAAGAAGTAATTCGAGATCCATGCTGTCAGGGAGGGGAGCCGGGTGGAACCAAGCTTGGTATCTAAAATTCATCATTTGATAATATAAAAATCATTTTTGGAGTTTGCTAAACAGCTCTTCTTTGTAGGCATTGCAAAAGCTATCCAGCAAAAGAAAATGAAGAGTCATAGACAAATACCAAGGAAATTAGTCAGAAACTGTGTAACTGTACTACATAATAGAGCCTTACAAAAGGAACTGGGGAAGTTCATATAGGATGTAATAGTAAAAACATACTGAAAACACCATCTGAACAAGAATCAATCAGTAATTTGACGAACATGAAATATCAAATGTCTACCCGCAGTCAAGCACTGGGAGGAATTATAAGTGAAACACACATAAGCCCAAAGTGAATACACACACAAGATAGCCCAAGAAGGGCACCTGGGTGGCTCAGTTGGTTAAGCGACTGCCTTCGGCTCAGGTCATGATCCTGGAGTCCCGGGATCGAGTCCCGCATCAGGCTCCCTGCTCGGCAGGGAGTCTGCTTCTCCCTCTGACCCTCCCACCTCTCATGTGCGCTCTCTCTCTCTCTCTCTCATTCTCACTCTCTCAAAACAAAACAAAACAAAAAAAGATAGCCCAAGAAAACATAAAGTTAAGGCCAAAGTCTGCTATTTACTTCCATATAAAATACGGCACTGGGAAGCAATGGAAATAATAAAATACACATTCAATAAATATTATTTGGTTTGACTGTCAGATTGAATCTCATAAAACAAATTATGACTGAATCTTAATCCATTCAAATAATCTTACCAAATTTTAGTCAATTCATTTCTTTTTTTTTCAGTCTATTAGTTTCTTAAGTATTATTCAATTCTGAGCTGCCATCTAAACACCAGAAGTCTCAACATTAGCCCTAAGTAAATAAACAAATTTGTTCTACAAAGATTACCTGTTTTTCCCCAGCAGAAGGACACGGAGGGATCTCAGAGTAGAAAGCCCACTGATTTCTTCAATTTGGTTATCATATAAATCCAAGAATATTAGCCTCTGTAGATTAGAAATATTTTGGATCCGAGTTATAAAATTGTGTTGGAAGTTCAACAAACGAAGGTGTTCTTCTCCATCAATGATAGGACATACAGTCAGCTTTTGCCTAGAAAACATTTTAAAAAGTTAATAAAGTTTTGATGTGACAAACTGCCTCCTCTTTTTATTATTACAAATATTATTAATAGTACCTTTGTGCTCCCATGCTGTGAGGAGAAAAAAGATAAATAGAACCACTTCTTGCCTCCAGGAACTAAGCCTCCTAGATCTAGTTGTAAATCATTTCTATAAAAGACAATATACTTTGACAAAGGCAATTATTAAAATTAAATCTAAGCTCTCATTGTATTAAAAAAATCTCCAATATCAATTATTTCACATAAAATTGAATTATCATCAGAAAACACTCAATGTAATTGCCTTCTCAAAATTGAAATGATTCAAAGAGCCATGTCACTTAACACAAGAGATGCCCTTGCCATCAATCCACTGATACAGATTGTCCAGGCAACTAAGTCTTCAGGGAAAAAACAACAATTTATACACAGGTCTTTCATAGATAACATCTTAGGAAAAGTAAGAAATTCAGCCATCTACAGTTCACTTTGATGGAAACAGTTTCATCCTGAAATCCATTAATGGAAATGTGGTCCTTATAACACATTTCCTCAGAAGCTTAGATTTTAAGAATGTTTACATGTTCAACATTAACTTTAGACTTTGAAGAACATTTAGAATGCTATAGGATAGGATGAAACCTTACTAATACACGCTTTCAGCTGTATTTGAAACAGTAAAGCCTCCATTATGCAAAAAGTTATTATGTCTTACATGGGAAGTAAATACATACAGGGCCCTTTAAGAATTCCACTACTAAAATAATGGCCAGAGAAGAGTGATTCTACTCTGAGGTTTTCAACAGTGTTCAAGGAAAATGTCGCTGTATTGATCAGTGTGTGAACAACTCTAATGGAGAGAGTTATTAGAACTATTTCCTTTCAGTAAAAATCAAGCAAATGTAACCTTTAAAGAAAATAAATCAGAATGCTACAAGCATGAGTGAAATTTGGATGTGATCAGAATCGTCCTCATTTATAGAGAAAAGATGATTAGCACAAAGAAATGACTGAAGGTGAACGGTTGACAAAGATAAGATGTTTAAAAATACAGACCCTGAAAAAATTGGCTTAAAATAGAAGAAAAGTAAAACATAATAGACAATAGTTGAATTCTTTTAATGTGTGCTTCGTATTTAGAATTCATTTCATGCATTCAATACTACATTTGCTCCTTGTCTTATAAATTATAAATTAATAAATGACAAGTATTCTAGTCTAAAATTGATGTCTTTATCTGCTTAGCAAAAAACTTTGTCTCATTTTTCCTGCTTCAGTCCTCCTCTGTTTCTCAGTTAAACTTTACCAATACCCCCAGCTTCTAGTTCATCCAATCTTTGAGTCAGTCATCACTGAGAAAGGAAAATAAATAATCCCGGACCTCCCTCTTACATAAGTCACTATAGCTTGAAATAAAGTCACTTTCTCAGATTCCAAATCCAATGACTAAGTCCCAACTGCAAGGCTCACTTGTCCATTCCCTAGCCCCCTAAGTCCCTGCCATGCAGCAAAACAAGCAAACACACACACATAATAAGCCAGGGCTCTCTGGGAGGGGGTCGGGGGGGGTGGTTGTTCAGCCAACAAAATCCCTGAGTTGCTACACCTCCTGCCCTAATACCTGATGTATATTGGACAACACTTTTGCCTCTGTATTTCCTACTTGATGCTGGAACAACACTGCAAAGCTGTCATGAGATGTAGTGCCCTCAAGTGGTGATCTCAGAGTCATGGGATCAAGCCCCATGTCAGGCTCCCCACTCAGAGGGAAGTCTGCTTCTCCCTCTGCCCCTCCCCCTACTCCATTTCTCTCTCGCTTGCTCACTCTCTCTCTCTCAAATAAATAAATAAAATCTTTAAAAAAAACCAATTTGTTCTTGGAAACACACTGCTAAGCTAAAGGTATGCATAGCAGCGATGGTTTGTCTAGACTGGTTATAGCACTAAGGTAGGATAGGGGTGCTTCATCCACCATTCTATTGCCAAGGGCTTCCTAAATTTTTTTATTTTTTATTTTTTATTTAAATTCAATTTAGGTAACATATACTATATTATTAGTCTCAGGAGCAGAATTTAGTGATTCATCAGTCTTATATAATACCCAGTGCTCATTATGTCAAGTGCCCTCCTTAATGCCCATCACCCAGTTACCCCAATCCACCACCCACCTCCCCTCCAGCAATCCTTAGTTTATTTCCTTTTTTTTTTAAAGATTTTATTTATTTATTTGAGAGAGAGAGAGAGAGAGAGAGAGAGCACATGAAAGGGGGAGGGTCAGAGGGAGAAGCAGACTCCCTGCTGAGCAGGGAGCCCGATGCGGGACTCGATCCTGGGACTCCAGGATCATGATCTGAGCCGAAGGCAGTCGCTTAACCAACTGAGCCACCCAGGCGCCCCTCAGTTTATTTCCTATAGTTAAGTCTCTCATGGTTTGTCTCCCTCTCTGTTTTCATCTTACTTTCTTTTTCCTTCCCTTCCCTATATTCATCTGTTTTATTTCTTAAATTCCACATATGAGTGAAACCATATGGTATTTGTCTATTTGTCTTTCTCTGACTGATTTATTTAGCTCAGCATAATACCCTCTAGTTCCATCCACGTCGTTGCAAATGGCAAGATTTCATTCTTTTTGGTGGCTGAGTAATATCCCATTATATATATATGTATATACACACACACACACACTACACACACACACACACCCATATATAAAATATTCCATTTTATTATATATATGTTATATATGTATAATATACCACATCTTTATCCATCTTTATACATTCATCTGTTGATGGATACCTGGGCCCTTTCCATATTTTGGCTATTATGGACACTGCTGTTGTAAACATTGGGGTGTGTGTGCCCCTTTGAATCACTATGTTTGTATCCTTTCCATAAATACCTAGTAGTGCAATTGTTGGGTCATAAGGTAGTTCTATTTTTAACTTTTTGAGGAACCTCCATAGTGTTTTCCAGAGTGGCTGCACCAGTTTGCATTCCCACCAACAGTGTAAGAGGGTTCAAGGGCTTCCTAGGTTTAAAGCTAGGGATCAAATCCTAAATATATTCACTCGTTCAAAAAATTTTTAGTCTATTTTGTCCCAGGCTCTGTTCTAGGCGCTGGGGATACAGAACTGAACAAAACTCCCAGTGTTTGTGGAGCTTATATTCCAGTAGGAGGAGACAAAGGATAAACTTGATAAGTAAAATACTTCATATGTTAGAGGGTGATAAATGCTAAGAAGAAAAATAAAGCAAAGAAGGGGGTTGAGGAGAGTCAGGGTAGAAGGGGTAGTAGCTTTGGAGATGGTGGCTGGGGAAGGTTATCCCCAACATGACGACATTTGAGTAAAGACCTGAAGGAGGTTAGGGAATAAGCCTACAGATATGTGGGGGAACAGCATTCTACGTAGGGGAACATCAAGTGCAAAAGTCCTGAGGTATAAGCATGCTTGGTGTATTCATGCAGCACCAAGGAGGGCAGGTGTAACTTCAGCAGAGTGAATGAAGGAAAAATCAGGTCAGGCCAGTGAGGTAACAAGAACTCAACTGGATAGGGCCCAGAAAGGCCCATATGAGGACTACACTGTAATTTTTTCTATCCTAAAATCCATTTTTATCAATGTCATAGTCTAGAATTGCTATACTACTCTTTCAGGGTATAGGTAAGCTCTGTTACATTACATAGCTATAAAATCCCTCCCCATACCTCTGGAAGGATAAATAAAAAATTGGTAACAATGATTATATCTATGTGGGAGAACTGGGGAGCTGGAGAACAAGAGAAGAGAGAAAGACTTTTCTATCTTTCCAATCCTGTACCATGTTTATATATTATCTAGTCAAAAAAAGAACAAAAAAAAGAAATTGTCCTCACCTTTCTAGGGTCAACCTGTCTGAGTAAAGAATTTTCTCTTCAGAAGAACGCTGCAGAATGGGAAACGATGGCATTGATGAGCTCGCCAGATGAATATGATCACCTATTGAAAATGATATACAAATTACTTGTTAAGAAAAGCCTTTAAAATCTTGAAACTAAAGTCACCTTATATTTGGAGAACTTTGGCACCTACAAATATCTTTTCTGGAAAGTACAGTTTCCATAGCTCTCTACACTTAAAATTAATTACTACATTTGAGTTTGTTTCTTTCCTCCTCAACCCTAAACTACATGTTCTGTATATATGTTCTATATATACCAAATAATTTTTCCCTTGCCCTATAGATTGGTTGAAAGTACAGAACTACTCTAGTGCTATATTTACCCCTTTATAAGGCTGACTCCTAGTACTAAATTTTAACTCTTAAAACTGAGATGATAGTCCCTCATTACCAGATACATTTGGGCCAGCACTATGACAGCCCTGCCGGATTCTGGACTTTGAAGGTGTCTGAATGGAAGAATCTCCAAATGCTGATAAGGAGCTCATGGTAGTTTTCATTTCCAGCCCACATAGTTCTGTCACGTTTGTTGTGGATGAGATGAATGATGATTTATTACAAGGTGAAGGGCTTATTACTCTTCCATCTCCTTCAAAATATCAAAAAGTTTATCACAAAGCTACACAATACATGACTTTGCTACTGGAAATACAGAGAAAGTAGTTTTGGATAGCAGATGTATCACTTTTTCTTTGTATATTCAACTACTATTAGTAGAAAACATTGCAGAGACCAATGGATGTGGATAAATACTGTATATTTGTAGTTAGGGTCCACAGGGTATATGATACTCCTATGAAGTTTATAGGTTGTTGGTCCTATAAACCTGACTGCAATTAAGTAGCTTTCCATCTAACTGGCAAACACATATGAAATTAATAGACTATATAGAACAACGTACACAAAATGCAGAATAAAAAATAGTATCTGTTATATATTCACACATAAATGTGACAGTTATTTTCCATTTAAGATGGGTTTGGGGGGAGGTGGATATTAAGGTATATTCTAAAGACCCAGAAGAATGTAGAATGGTCAAGAAGAGATGCTGGGAAGTTCCAGAAATGAGGTAAGATTTGAGTAATGGGTCAAAGGGGCCAGTTTGAACATTAGAGGAGTATAAGAATCTTCTATAAAGAGAAAATTTCCTGAAAGAAGCAATTGATGTTGAAGGGAGCAATAAGCAGTAAAATAGAAACTACGGTTACCACAGAATTCTTCTGCTTAAATGGACCAATAAGGTGAAAAGAAAAAAACAAATCTAGGACGCTAACATACTCTTTGGGAGACCATCAGACAATATGATGACAACGTAAAATCAAGTTCCGTATAGATACTATCAAAAAGCTGTCAAGCAACGATATTTGCTAGCTTCTATGGGTCTACAGAGCACAAACCAAAGTATCACACACCTAACTTCTTGTACAAAATAATCAGTGCTCATACTCCACTTTTCTAAATATCATGAAACATCAAGATAACCAATAATGATGTTCTAGAGTAACTAAGAATTGACATCACGTTCACCAATGAACTGCTCTTGTAAGAGTAGTTTCATTTATGCTTAAAGGAGTTTTATCCTCACACTTTTCAGTTCCTATTATACACAGAAGTCATAATCCCTATCCCCATGATGAGCTTACTATCACAATCAGTGTGATATATATCTTACAAGAAATAGCAAGAAATGAGAATGATTAGGGAGAAACACCTTAAAGCCCACAAACAAGATCCTTTAAATGACTGGAAACCAGAGTGATCTATGATTGACACATCCACACACTTATATGGATATATAAATACCCACATATATGCACATATATTTGTATATCAAACATCCATACATATTTGTGGGATGTTTCACCCTACATATAAACCACATTACTATGTGGCAAAATTTTAATTGAAACATCTCCTGTTATTTCATATGTCACTATTTAATTTACCAGAAATGAAGCCCCTGTTTTCCCAATTAAATTTATAAGCTCTTTGGGAGATAGACCTCATTTTGTACTCCTTATATTCTTGCCCGAATCCAAATTCTGTAAGCAATCAATAAATTATTTAATTGATTTTCCAATTTACTAAAAGTTAACTGGAAATCTATTTTGTACATACTATTTCTGTTAAAAAAAAAAAAAGAAAATCAAAGTCTTGCTCCTAATACAGTGTCTAACACATAGTATACACTCAATAAATATGTACTGAACTGAACCAAAAAGAGCAAGACAGATGCTCCCTGTAGTGTGGAACTGCAGTTAGGTTGATGCCATGTCTAGCAGTTGGCCAAGACAAGACTGTAGGATATAAGAAAGAGAAAAGTCATGTCAAATTAGATGGGCCCAAGAGGAAACAAAACAAAAAAAGAAAAACTAATCAAATATTCAAGATGACCATATGTTCATGCAGTAATGAGATGAACAATCTGGACATGCCTATACAGATCAACCCCCTTATACAAACTCCTAGGAGGTGGGGATGGCACATTATATAACGATTCTGTAGTATTTAACATTAGCCCATTACAGATGGCTAGCAGTTGTGAACAACCAACTAACAACTCAAATGTGCTAAAGGAAATTCCTCCTTGAACTGAAAAATACATCTCAGAAATATAACTAGATCATATAAGACCATGTTTTTCAAAGAGTGGTCCACAAGCCACATCCATCAGAATCACTCAAGACATTAAAATAGCACATTTCCAAATCCCACTCAAAAACTACAAAATCAGAATGGGGAAGAGGAGGAAAGGAAGGGCAATACTAAGAACCTGCCTTTCTAATAAAATCTCAGGTGATGCACACCAAAGTGTAAAGCCTTTGATATAAAATATCTATAATTATATGCACTAGTAAGGGAAAGATTTCTTTTCTACTCCTGATTTTTCACTCTTTCCACTGTTTCCTTATTTCCTAGACATCTGTGTTCCCATACTCTTACCCGCATTAACTAGCCATTTTTCCTAGTTCTAAGACAGTATTTGAAAGATTCTTTCCCATTCTGTTGTGCATAGCCCAGCCTCAAACTACAGTACAACTGCTTTTTCTGTATTGAAATAATCTACTACACTGTATATATAAAATCAGTTCTGATCCAAATAAATACCAAACCAATTTGATTAATGAACCATTGGTTAATGAACCATTTCATTTTTAATTCAGGTCAATTTGCATTTAGGAGTCCAGATTATTAAACAAATATTACTCAAATAAGATAAGCCATATCTGACCTCTACTTGCTGAACAATACCTTGCCTACTTGAGTAGTTTCTTTCAAGATCATGTTGCAAGAGTCGACCAGAGAATGATGGTGTTTCTTTATTTAGCTTGAATTCAACCTAAAAAACATTATTTGGGGAAAAATTTAAAGTAAATAATGAAGATAATTATAAAATTATGTACAATACTGACACAAGCCACAACAGAAATGAACCTTGAAAACATGATGAGTGAAAGAAGCAAGACACAAAATGGCACATAGCATAGGATTCCATCTATGAAAAACTGATAATAAAAAAATATAAAGAGACAGCAAACAGATTTGTGGTTTTCAAAGGGGGTGGGAAGAGGAAATGGGGAGTGATTGTTTAATGGGTACAGGGACTCTCTTTTGAGTGACAAAAAGTTCTGGAACTACATAGTGATGATGACTGCACAACCTTGTGAATGTATTTAATACCCCTAATTTGTACAACTTAAAATGGCTAAAATGGCAAATTTTATGTTATGAGTTTTTTAACACACACACAATCAGAGGCAATTTCATGAGGTCAGATGAAACTATGCTCCAAACCACTTGCAATTCCTCCATATCCTCACCACAAACACAATGATTAAAAGAACCATTTTCTAGAAAACAAAAGCAAAAACCATATGACAAAAAGTAAATTCTGTTGAAGAAAAAATCACTATGTTTTTATCATTAGAATTCCTTTTAAGAATCCAAGTATAATAAAATTGTATATCTAAACCTTCTAAGAAGGGTTTTGTCTAAATTCATTTTAAATTATTTGATAGGAGGACTGAGAAAAACAAAACCAAAACAACCACTCATGATTAGCCACCAAAAAACCCTAAGTATATATCTTAAAATAGTTATGATGCTTCTGATTCATCCATACTATAAACATTGTAACAGCATTTGCATTATAACTTTATGAATTATATGAGCTAAAGGTATTTTCTCAGAACATATGTCCACTCTAGAGAAAGTAAATGGGTTTGAAAACAATCTGGACAAGGCACATAGTTCCTAGAAATACACTGCAATGATAAAACAGGATTTTTCCAGCAAAATCAATTAGCAAAACTTTGGAGGAAATCCAATACGTCCAATTATAATAAAGAATATTTTCAATTAATCTAGCTAATTGCTATTTATTCAAGATGATCAAGTGGTCTACTTTCCAAGTATTTATTTTCACATATAATGTATAGTCAACTACTGCCTCCTTGACTAATGGTGTCCTTCCATCAACATTCCTCACGCCCCTCCTAACCCTCCTCATGCAGTTGTTTGTAAACTCTGTCCTTCAGTTTAGAGTTCCCCCAGTGACATCTATTGAATAATCTTTTAGGAAAAAACTGAATTGTGATGGTTGGAGGTATCCAACTTGGGCAAAGGGGAAAAATTGTTTTGTGTCTTGAGACAGTTCTGTGGGAGGTAGATGAGTATGTCTGAGTGCTGAGATGAGACAGGAGGGAAAGAAAAATGTGTATCTCAAAAATCAAATCTAAAGCTAGAAATAATGGAAACGCCAGAGGATACTGTGTGCAAATTTGGGAAAAAAGAATCTTATGTTCGTATCTTAACTTCTAAAGAGCATTAAGCTCAATATATTTTCACTGCTAATCTATTATGTTCTCCTTGATTTTAAACAGAATGTGTAGATGTATCCCCCAAATTATCACATTTTATCCATTATAAGATGCCATCAGTAGGAAGACATACCATCATTTTACCCACTACTAAGAAAGAAAAAGCTTTCCTAATTCAACTATGATGTGCCATCAATTTTAAGAAGAATCCTGACTTAAGAAATGTTTAAATGTAAAAACAAAAACAAAAAACTCACCTCTTGTAATTGGTGAAATAAGAATCAGTTTTTAAAAGAGGCTTTTAAAAGAGACTTTGACTTTATGTGGGCAGAAAATAAAAATTATTTTAGCTTTACTCTTTAAATCATGCCGCTATTTGTGTAGATTACAAAATAATTTATCTTTGATTTAAATACAAATCTGCTTAAATCTTACTTTGCTTTTTTCAGGAAGCGATGATGTTTGAATAACCAGATGAAGCCCACAGTTCACCTGCAATGTAAAAATTATAGCATAAAATATGCTCTTAACTTATATACACACTTATTTCTCCCCAAACTGGTACAGTTAAAGATATAACAAACACTTAGAATAAAACAGAATGCTTGCTTTTTGTTTGTGGTAAATGATCTTCTTCTGAGGATCTGCCGAAAACAATAAAATCACGACTAAGAATTAAAAGGTTTCACTGTGATTTATTTTCCAAAATGTCTGCAGCGATTTAACCCTCTATCTTAGCACCTCAGGTTTTTGACACTTGCCATTTCAAATCTACCTAAATATCTCAATGGGACAGGTGAAGGAGGGGGAGTACCTATTAATAATACATTTTTTTCTAAATTAAGAAAACGGGTGGGAGATTGGTTAGAAGAATTGAAATGAACCTTAGCCTTTCACAGCAGACCAGCTCCACCTTCTGGGAAGCCAAGAACCTGGACAAGACTTTGAATACCCATCATACAATATTAAATACCCTCCAAGTGCCTTGGTCCAGTCCACGTATCTCAAGCCTCGGTCAGACAATAGCTTGAGTAGATTCATTGGTCCTGGTCCCAATAATACCAGCCCATCACCTAGGACAAAGACGCCAGTCAGAAAGAACGATACGAATGGGGGAAAAGGGAAGGCAGGAGACCCAACCTACGTTGTTCGCAGCCCGGCCAGAAACAGAGCGGTACTTCCCGGGAATCATGGCAGGAGACAGTCCAGGATCTGTTAGATCTGCCTTAGAAGCGACGATACACCGGAGACTCAGAGACAGAAAGGGGTCATCTCCCAGGCAACCCGCTCAGGGGTTACCATGGAGACGACCATTTCCGGTCTGGTCCTCTCCTAAATCAACTGGCCAACCCGGTCGATAGAGCCTCCGGTGATGTTTGCCCGGGTCCGGTGCGTCCGCACTTCCTCGTCCTACTTTCCTCGCCTCGTACAAAAGGAGCCGGAGTGTGGGGAGGAGGAGACCGGGAAGAGGGCGGCCGCCTCGGTAGCTATGACAACCACCACTTCCGGTCCGTTCCTCTTTGCGGACCACCTCAGCTCCGCCCGCGCGAAATTTGGATCCCTCTGCCGGGGGCCACCTGCTCTCGGCGGAGGACGGCCGCGCGCGGGCGGAGGCCGATATCCGAGCACGGCGTACGCCCCCGTGGGGCCCCAGCTCGGCACTTCCGGTGGCCGGAGGTAGGGGCACCGACGAGGCGCCGCGCCGCGCGGACCGGCGCAGGGGGACCGCGTCGCCCCGGCTGGGAGCGCGCGGGCGTGCGGAGGCCGAGGTCGCTGCCATGCCGGCCCGCTGCGTGGCCGCCCATTGCGGCAACACCACCAAGTCCGGGAAGTCGCTGTTCCGCTTCCCCAAGGACCGGGCCGTGCGGCTGCTGTGGGACCGCTTCGTGCGGGGCCGCCGCGCCGACTGGTACGGGGGCAATGACCGCTCTGTCATCTGCTCGGACCACTTCGCTCCGGCCTGTTTTGACGTCTCTTCGGTTATCCAGAAGAACCTGCGCTTCTCCCAGCGCCTGAGGCTCGTAGCGGGCGCCGTGCCCACCCTGCACCGGGTGTCCGCCGCAGCACCTAAGGGGGAAGAAGAGGGAGAGCACGCGGGCGGCCCCGAAAAGGGAGGAGAGCCCCAGGCAGTCAGGCAGGCAGAGGCCGCCCCGGGGCCGGCCTCCTGTACGCTCCTCCGGGCCAGGAAGACGGCGGCGCCTTCACAGGTAAAGGGACGTCAGAAGTCCACCGAGGGTCGTGGAAGGAACCCCGGACTGTGGCTCAGCTCTGCCACTAGTGTCACCTGGGGAGGGTCCCCTCACCTCGAAGGGTTCTGTTTTCCCATCTGTAAAATTAGGAGGGTGCTGTAGCGGGGATCTCTATTTAACATGAACACTATGGAATTATAGTTCCTTCTACCTCCTTCTCCCCCAGCCTCAGACAGACTCACACTCTCGTCCTTTAGATTCTAGAGTCACCTTCACAGTCCGCTGCAGACTTTTTAAATAGAAAGGATTCCATTTGAGCAAATCTCAAGGAAAGGGGTGCTTGAAACTGTTTTTGCGTAACATCTTACCTGAGCTTGAGGAAATGATTATAACTGCCAAAATGGTGGGGGAAGGAGGATGCGGAGCTACGGATGAAGATGGGGTTTGCTGATAAACAATCTCTTCCCGCTCCTAAACTTCCTCTTGACTAGCTTCCTGTAAGTTAAAACATCACGGTGAGCTGAATTTTCCCACCTTGCCCTCTTCTGCTAACTTACTAATCCTCATATGCATTGCCTAGATTTACTTTGCATCTGGTCACTATATCTTCTTCCCCACTTCCCATCTTAATGAAGACTTCCCAGCCTTATTTGAGATAATCAAACTTCAGCCCTATCACCATTACATAGATTAAATTATGACTTTTAATTGGATCTAAAAGGTGTTCATTTCTAGAGATGGGAAGAGTTCGCCAAGAAGTCAGCTGATCTGTAACTGACATTTGGGCTTTGAATATTCGGGTGCGTTGGTAGAATTTTAGAGCTGAAGGGAAACTAAGTGCTCTTCTAGTCCAGACTCACACTTTATGCACAAGGGTGTCAATCCAGGAGATTAAGAATTTCCTCACCGGCCTGTAATATTTGCTCTAAGTCCAACTGCCAGACCAAAACTTTTTCTGAAATACCAACCTGCTCCCTACATTGGAGTGGGTGCTTAAGACACTTTTAAGGTATCCTGAAATTACTAGGATAAAGAGCAAAATTATTAACACAACCTACAAGTCCTTGCATGCTTTTTGGCCCTGCCTACCATTCTAGTCCTATCCAAGGCCACTGTCCTTGTTGCTCAGTATATACCAGTCATGTTGATCTTTTCCGTTTTTGAACATGCGATGTTCCTTCCTACCAACAAGCCTTCACTCATTTGTTTCACGTAATACCCTGGAATTATGCTCCTCCCATTCACCATCATCATCAATTAAGTCTTTTTACTTTAAAAATCAATTCAAACATCCTTTCCCTTTGGTCCCCTATTAATATATTTTCATTCTTCATATATTTCATATGCTTCGGTAGTACATATACTTCAATAACACATCACAGTTATCATTAAATAATTGTGTCGTTTGCTTAATGTTTGCTTAACATTAGAACGTAAGCTCCATGAGAGCAGGGATCCTATCTGACATGTTCTTTCTTGTATTGGCAGTACCTAGACAATATTTTGCAAATTTTAGGAATTCAATAAATATTTGTGGAGTGATTATGTGACTCTAAGAACACTTTTTTGTACTTTAATAGAATTTTCAGTTCTTTGCCAGCTACCCTTCTCACCCAGCTCTATACCAGTCAGGACATCTGTCCCTTTATCTATCCACTATCACTACTTATCCAACCTTTACCTAAGCACATATATAATACACAAATGCAAATATGTAGTAAAAGAGAGGAACATTAAACATGCCATGCACACCCTTATACCATTTTACTTCCTCATAATTATAGCACCTAATCAAAACTTGGGAGAATAAAAGCCAGCCTAGTGAAACAATCAAAGATTTTATAACAAAGGCTAACCTTGAGGAAATCCGGAGTACATACCAAACCTACTTTGCAATTAGAATATTATATATATTAATATAATATATCCAGCCAACATTTCTAACAATCCATATTACATTAATATACTTGCTGTTTATTGGGAAACTATGTGTTAGTTTTATTAATAGTTACTTTAAAAGTATATAAGGTTAAAAAGAGTTTAGAGTTGTTCACAATCCCTTTTTCGCTGGGTCTGGATTGAGAACCCCGGTAACATTGCTAAGTTTGCTTGTACCACCTCTGGCTCCTTTCCCCACTCACTTTTTCCAATTCCAGGACTAACTGACTAAAAATCAAATTTCCAGGCATTCTACAGCATTTATTGAGGGGCTATTGTAGACACTGTTCTGGGTAGTTGGTGCTTAATGTAGATAAATATAACTGAATGTTCCCTATCTGTACGGAGCTTGAGAAAAGATTAGGGACTATCTCCCAGGAGAAAGGGGGCTCTGAGGAGCACTATACACTATCTGATATTTTGCTTCATGAGACTATGATTATTTTCTGTAACTGTTAATTTCTTACTTTTTTATCCAACTGTATTTTTTAAACTGTCTAATTGAAGTGTAACAAATACGCAGGAAAGTGCACAAATATTGTCATTAAATTATCACAGCCCGAACAAGTGTAGCCACTAGATAACTCAAAGAAATAGAACACTGCTAGCAATGCAGGGGCGCCTCTATCACCTGAGCTGCAGCCTTCCCTCCTCCTTGAAGAAACCAAGTTTGCTTTTTTTTTTTTTTTTTTTTGCTTCATAGAGTAGAATCATGTAGGTATTTCTTGCATCTGGCTTCTTTGTTCAACATTATATTTGTGAGAGTCATCCATATTGTTGCATACAGCAGTAATTTGTTTTCATTATTATGTAGCAGTCCATTGTATGAATATGCTAAAAAATTTATCTGTTCTACTCTATTTGAACATTTGGGTTGTTACCATTTGGGGGCAATTATAAGTAATGCTGCTATAAGCATTTTTGAACATGTCTTTTTCATATGTGCACACATTTCTGATGGTATATACCTAGAATTGCTGGGACATAGTATGTTAAACTTCAGTAAATAATTCCAAGTGTTTTTTTAAAATAGTCTTACCAATTCACACTTTACTAGCAGCATATGAGAGTTTACATTGTTGCTCATTTTGCCTGCACTTAGTTTGTTAGACTTTCATATTTGAGTCCTTCTGCAAGGTTTGTAGTGGTGGTTTACTTTGCATTTCCCATTTGTAAATGAAATTAGTAAGGGAACACCTTTTCAAATGTTCATTGTACATGTAGATAGCCTCTTTGGTGATAAGGCCCATTTTTCTGTCAGGTTATCTTAACTCTTGTTGATTTCGGGTTCTTAATAAATTCTGGCTTCCTTTGTCAGTTAAATATGTTTCAAATATCTTCTCCCACTGTGGCTTGCCTCTTTCCTCTTAATAGTGTCTTTTGATGTACTGAAATTCTTAATTTTAATGTAGACCAACTTACCAACATTTTTCTATATGCTTAATGCTTAAAACATTCTATTATGCTGTTTTCTATAAACTTAATGTTTTTAATTTTTACATTCAGACCTACAACCCATTCAGAATTGACTTTTGTGTGTGATGTGAGATAGGGTTTAAGTTTCATTTTTTTCCCTTATAGATACCCAATTGACTCAGTGTCTTCTATTGAAAAGACCAGCATTTCCTCATTGTCCTACAGTGTCAACTTTGTCATAAGTTTCTATGTACACATTAAGTCTGTTTCCGCATTTTTAAATTTTGCCCATTTATCCTTTTGCATATTTTTTGCAGCATTATCACAGTACCTTAATTACTGTGGCTTATATTAAGAACCAACATTCAATTGATCAATTTCTCTTACCTTGCTCATCTTTATGGATGTCTTGGCTATTTGGGGCTCCTAGAAGTTCCATATATATCTTAGAATTGGTTTGTCAGTTTCCACAAATTGTCTACTGGGATTTGATTGGGACTACATTGAATTTATAAATGAATGTGGGGAGAAAGAGCATATTAACCATAACAGTTCTTCCAATCCATGAACGTAGTATAGCCCTACATTTATCTGTGTTTTTACATTCCTCTTAAAAATATTTTACGGCATTCTATGTAAAGGTTTTTACATATTTTATTAGATTTATTCCTATTTGATTTTGCTATTATAAGCAGTATTTAAAATTTTATTTCTTATGTATTTATGTAGAGAAATTGATTTTTGTTGACCTTGTATCCAGAAACCTTGTGTAAACCTATTTATTCCAATAATTTGTAGATATTTTTCAATTTTCTACATGTCTATAACATGTCAGTAAATAGTTTTTGATGTTTGTGCTTTTATTTCCTATTCTTACTACAGTGTTGGGAACCAAAGAAGTGATGAGGAATCCTTTTTTTCATTCTTACTTCCGGAGGGGAGGGCTTTAAGTTTACCATTTGACATGATTTTTGCTACAGTTTTGTGTGGTTTTTTGCAGCTGCTTTTTATCATAAAAAAATATTCCTGCCTATTCCTAGTTTTTGCTACAGATTTAAATCATAAACGATGTTGAATTATATCAAGTCTTTTTCTGAATCTATTCATAATCGTATATTTTGTCTATTCTGTTATTGTGGTGAATTATATTGCCTGGTTTTGAAATATAGAACCAAACTTGCATGGCTGAAGGAAACACATTTTGGCCAATGCGTATTGCTCTTTTATATATTGCTTGATTTGATTTGCTAATAGGATTTTTACATCTGTGTTCATGGGCAAACTCAGTCTATAATTTTTCTTTCTTGAAATGTGTTTCTCAGGGGTGCCTAGGTGGCTCAGTCGGTTAAGCATTTGCCTTCAGCTCAGGTCATGATCCCAGGGTCCGGCGATTGAGTCCCGCATTGGGCTCCTTGCTGGGCAGGGAGCCTGCTTCTCCCTCTGCTTGCCTCTGTCTCTCTGACAAATAAATAAAATTAAAAAAAAAAAGAAAGAAATGTCTTTCTCAGATTTGATATCAAGATTATGCTGACCAATTTGGAGTTATTTCCTCTTATATCATTCTCTGGAAACGTTTCTATTAATTGGCATATATTCATTAATAAATTTGGTATTAATATTTGGTAGAGTTCGCTGATAAAGATACTTGGTCCTTACCTAGTCCTGGAGTTTTCCTTGTGGGAAGATTTTTTTTTTAAGATTTATTTATTTATTTGAGAGAGAGAGAGCGTGTGCGCACGAGCAGGAAGGGCAGAGAGAATTTCAAGCAGACTCCATGCTAAGTACAGAGCCCACTGCAGGGCTTGATCTCACAAGCTTGAGATCAAGACCTGAGAGGAAACCAAGAGTTGGATGCTCAACCAAATGTACCACCCAGACGCCCCTTGTGAGAAGATTTTTAATGATGGATTCAATTTTTTTTAACAGTTACACGGTTATTCAGTTTTTTGTTTCTGCACTTATTTTGACAAATTTTTCTAAAAATTTGTCAGTTTAAATTTTCAAATATATTGACACAAAGTTATGATAATCTTTTATCTTTTAAAATTCTATATGATCTGTAGTAATTTTTGCTTTTTCATTCTGTTTCTGATCTGCTTCACCAGGTGCATTTTGATTTTTATTAATCTTTTCAAATAATAAACTGCCTTCTTGGTCTTTTTCCTAGTATTTTTTTTTTCATTATTTTGTATCATTTTTCCTTGCCTGTACTTATTTTTTTCAACTTTGATTTTTTAGTTGATAGGTTAGATTTATATATTACTGAGCTAAATGATGAACAGAGATATTTTCTTGTCTATTTTTCCATTAAACAAGCTTGTTAAAAAGTAAAAACTTCACTTAAAGATATCTGTACATATTAAGATGTGGTATTTCACGGTGATTAATATAACAATAAAAAATTTTAAAAAATGTATTTCATGCAAAGAATATCTTAGAATAACCAACTTGCTTATGTGAAGACAAAACATTGAATTACCAAATAACTTCAAATTTTACCCAGCTGCTTACATTTTTAAAAAAATTTTCCAGTAGTGGGGCGCCTGGGTGGCTCAATCGATTAAGTGTCTGCCTTCAGTTCATGTCATGATCGAGGGTCCTGGGAACAAGCCTGGTGTCTGGCTCCCTGCACAGCGGGCAGCCTGCTTCTCCCTCTCCTTCCCACTCTTGTTCTCTATCGCTATCTCTGTGTCTCTCTGTGAAATAAATAAACATATTCACATTTTTTTCCAGTATTTTAAAAATTATTTTTGTAAGGCTTGACTTTTTTTGAACAGTTTTAGGTTCACAGCAAAATTGAGGGGACTACAGAGAGATTTCCCATATTCCCACTGCCCCCACACATATGTTGGCACCTCCACTATCAACATCCCCACCAGAGTGGTACATTTGTTAGAACTGATGAACCTACATTGACGCATCACTATCACCCCAAATCCATAGTTTACATTATAGTTCACTCTTGATTCCTCTACTTTTTAAATTTTTATTTACTGTTCTTCTAACTTCTTTTTTTTTTTAAAGATTTTTTTATTTATTTATTGAGAGAGAGAGAATGATAGAGAGCATGAGAAGGGGGAGAGGCAGAGGGAGAAGCAGACTCCCTGCTGAGCAGGGAGCCCAATGTGGGACTCAATCCCGGGACTCCAGGATCATGACCTGAGCCGAAGGCAGTCGCCTAACCAACTGAGCCACCCAGGCGCCCTCCTTCTAACTTCTTGAGAATTTAAATTGGATCATGGGTTTTCAGAATTTTCACATTAATGGCCAAAGAGGCGTCTGAGTTTCGCATGAGTATTTCCCAATTGTAGAATTCCCTAGAGTGGTATTAATAGAGGAAAAATTGACTTCTGAAATGAGGATATGTTAGAAATATTTTGTGGAATAAATTTTTTGTGTGATGTTAATAATTCCACTCTAATTAAGCCTAATTAATTTTTCTATACTCTCTTGTGCATATAAGACTATAAATTCCCTTGTAAGCATGGCATTAACTGAGTCCCACAAGATTTTGATATAGAATATTATTATTTAGCATAAAATATCTTTTTTCTTAAGATTTTATTTATTTATTTGACAGAGCGAGAGAGCACAAGCAGGGGGAACAGTGGAGGGAGAGAGAGAATCAGACTCCCTGCCAAGCAGGGAGCCCGATGCGGGACTCGATCCCAGGACCCTGAGATCATGACCTGAGCCGAAGGCAGACGCTTAACCATCTGAGCCACCCAGGTGCCCTGCGTAAATATTTTTATTTCACTATAAATTTATCTCTAATCTTTTCATGGGTTATTTAGAAGTCGGTTTTTAAGTTTCCAAACATACCGGCATTTTGTACTTCTATTTTTGTTGTCGATTTCTAGGTTAGTTACACTGTGACCAGAGAATATACAGCATATGAATTTAATCCTTTGAAATTTGTTGGTACTTGTATTAGGCAAAACATAGGTCAGTTTTTGTAAATGTTCCATATGCACTTGAGATGAACGTGTGTTCTGCAGTTGAGTACGTGTTATATATGTCTATTAATCATGTTTACAAGTTCTCTATCCTTACGGAATTTTTGTCTACTTACTGTATTAATTACTGGGAGAGGCATGTTAAAAATCTTCCACTGTAATTTTGAATTTACATATTTGATCTAATTCTAACAGTTTTTGTGTTATATAGTGCTAATAAAGCAACATCAGCTTTCTTTAGGTTAGTGTTGGCATAGTACATCTTTTTACATCCTTTTATTTTCAATCTTTCTGTATCCTTAAGAGTTTTGGCATTCCCTCCTATGATTGCCTCTTTGAAGAGAAGGTGTATCTTTTTCCTCTGGCTGCTTCTAATTTTTTCTCTTTGTTTTCCAGTTTTACTGTAAAGTGCATAGGTATGGCTTCCTTTGTTTTTATTTTGATAAGTACAGATAGTACTTTTGTAAAACCATGTCTTAATGTCTCCTCTCCATTTTGGTGAATTTTCAGATGTTATTTGCTCAAATAGGGCTTCTGTCCCATTTTCTCTCTCTTTTCCTCTGGTACTACAATTAATATCATATATGATACTTTTTCATTTTATCTGCTTTGTCTCTTGTGATCTTTTCTATATTTTCCAAACTTTTTTCTCTCTCTGCCTAATTTCAAGTATTTTCTTTTGACTCATGTTCCAGCTGATCAATATGTATTTGGAAATTCTGCTTCTTAACCTTTTAATATGAAGAAGTAATAATCAGATATGTGCACAAAAGATTTATGTTCAAAGATTTCTAATATAGATTGTTTTAATAAATTACAGTATGTCGGTACAACAGATTGTATGCAGCCATAAAAATTATGTAGAATATTTAATAACATAGAAACATGATTATTAAAGGAAAAAACAAGGTTATAAAACAGACGATCCCAATTAAAAAAAAAGCACACACGGAAAAGACCAAAAAAGTTCCAAAATACAAACTTGTTAGCTACAGATAAAGAGATGATGGCTAATCTTTAGTTTATTTTTGCTTCTCTGTATGGTGCAAATTTTTCTCAGTGATAAAAGGTATTATTATTCTAATGGGAACAAGTTATTTTTAAAAGCCTGATTAAATTTCTAAAATGCCGTTTTTTCAGGCATAAACCCGTTTTGTAAAGAAATATGTACTTATTCTAGACTTTTATAATGCTTGGCTTAGAAGTAGATATAGCCAATAGAAATTGGTCATAATTTTATAAACACAAATAAAAAGGTAAGACTTATATTTTGATTTAAGTCCTCAGTAATATTAGGTGTAATTATTCCTGTTACAAAGGGACTCTTCAGGGCGCCTGGGTGGCTCAGTCAGGTAAGCATCTGCCTTCAGCTCGGGTCATGATCCCAGAGTCCTGGGATCAAGCCCCACATCGGGCTCCCTGCTCAGCGGAGAGCCTGCTTCTCCCTCTCCCACTCTCCCTGCTTGTGTTCCCTCTCTCTCACTGTGTCTTTCTGTCAAATAAATAAATAAAATCTTTAAAAAAAAGAAGGGATTCTTTACAAAACTTTCTTCACAAAGTTTCTTTAACTTGGGTGTTAATAGCCTATATTACAGCAACTATGAATGCCAGCTAAAATGTTTTTTCAGTGGTTCAAAGGCAATTGCCACGACCAGGGCACTAGATAAAATTACAGAGCACTTTAATTTTTTTTTTTTGCTTTAATTTTTTTTTTATTGTTATATTAATCACCATACATTACATCATTAGTTTGTGATGTAGTGTTCATGATTCATTGTTTGTGCATAACACCCAGTGCTCCACGCAGAACACAGAGGACTTTAATTTTGTTTTTTGTTTCTCTTTCACTTCTTATTTCTTCCCACAGGCCCCCTTACATATTCTAGATATCCTTTCTTAGCCTCTTCCACATAATTTCTAGGTACTCAGTCTTATGTTAACTTCTTTTTTTTAATTTTTTATTTAAATTCAATTTAGTTAACATATACTGTATTATTAGTTTCAGGGGTAGAATTTAGTGATTCATCAGTTGCATATAACACCCAGTGCTCATTACATCAAGTAATGTAAATCATAAATTGCCAAGCATTCTGGTCAAACAGAAATTTATAAGTTATTTGCTTACAACTCATTATTTTTTCCTAAATCAATAGCTATAATACTACTAGTATTAAATTATTGGATATCATAGCAGTAGCATTATTCTAGAAAGCCTAATCATTGGTCCTTTATACCTTACAGAGAAATACTTAAATAAAATAATATGATTGGCTTTAAATGTTTTTATGCTTTCCTGAGAAAAATTACAATGTGAAACAGAAATTTTGATTTGCAGGGGAAGTAAGAGGTAGAAAGGAGCAGGATTCGGATACTTAGAAGGTAACATAAGCAATTGTACTACTAGGTATTTATCCAAAGGATACAAACATAGTGATTCGAAGGGGCACATGCACCCCAATATTTATAGCAGCAGTGTCCACAATAGCCAAAATATGGAAAGGGCCCAGGTAGCCATCAAGAGATGAATGTATAAAGATGGATAAAGATGTGGTATATTATACATATATAACATATATATAATAAAATGGAATATTTTATGTGTGTGTGTGTGTGGGTGTAATGTGTGTATGTGTGTATATATATATATAATGGGATATTACTCAGCCATCAAAAAGAATGAAATCTTGCCATTTGCAACGACGTGGATGGAACTAGAGGGTATTAACGCTGAGCTAAATAAAACAGTCAGAGAAGGACAAATAGACAAATACCATATGGTTTCACTCATATGTGGAATTTAAGAAATAAAACAGATGAATATAGGGAACAGTATGGCAGAGTTCTTAAGAACTTGGACTTTGGAGCCAGCTTGCCTGGATTCAAACTCCAGTCTTCCTACTATGTGACCTTGAAAACTATTATTTATACTCTTTTACTACTTCTCACTTTTGAAAGATAAAACCGTACTAGTTAGGCTACCTTTGATATGGTTCTCCTCTGATTTATATTTTTAGATTACATGTGAAAATGAAGTTAAACAAACACAAGTCCCTGCTAATAATCTATCTTATGGTGTCACTTCGGTACCTACTCTCTGTGAAGAAGGCCCAGTGCATAAAAGTACACAAATGTCTCTGAAAAGACCCCCTCACCGCAGTGTTGGTATGTCTGGACTCTTCGACTGATAATTGAATTGATCTTTTGTATACGAAAGATAAATGACAAGCAAAATGTACTTCACAGGCAAATGTGTTTATTCTCTTTCAGGTATTCAGGCCAAAGTGAAAGTGTTTGGAAAACAACTGTGTAATGCCACTACTCAGACCAACGGATTGCAGTCTAGAAGTGCCTCTCTCTTTGACATTTACTCCAGTGGCTCAGAGCCAGATGCAGACTGGGATGTCAAGAGTGAGCAGAGCAATTTGTCATACATAGCTGTGCAGGTGAAAGAAGAGTCTCGTTAAAAATGCGACATCAAATGACTTGATGTCCTATAGGTTTTCAAACCTTCGCTCACATAATTACTTCTTTGCTCTCGTAAATCTTTCACTTTGGGATAGTTGGGTATCAGCAAAATTTGTTCAGCTCTAAGGCAAAAATATGTCTGCCTGCCAAGGTCATGAAGATCATCCTTCCCACAAACCTCCCCACCTCCCACTTTCACCTCTTGTTTCTTTTTTCTTTTTATCCCTTTGGTGGAAATCGAGTTATAAGACGAAACCACAATAGCAGCATTTCCAGATCAAGATGAAGCACTGAATATTTAAGCTTACCGTAGAAACAACACTTATGTGGGACTTATATGACATTCACAAGTTAGAATGTCACTATTCTAAATATTTTGAAGATAATAGTAAGCACAGCCACGTGTGATACTATTGAATGATTTGGGAGCCATGAGACTTATCCTTGATTATTATTTTTTTTATGTTATATATTTATTAGTTTGTCCATTTATAATACTATTGGATCTGTGGATCAGTCCCTGTAAGCATTTCTGGTGAAGTTATGGCTCTTACAGAAAATTTTCGAAGGGAATTGATTTAAATAGAGATAGAGTTTGCTATACTTGGATTGCCTTGTTAATGAAATCTATTTGCGTTGGTTCCTATCACAACAAACCAGTTAGCTTGATGAATTTATATTGAAATTATTAACATCCAAAAGAAAGTATTATATTTCTAACATAACCCCATTTCAAGAATTAGGTTTTCCTCTATTAATACCATTCTGTTGAATTCTACATTTGGGAAATAAGCATGTGAAACATAGCCACCCCATCTGCCATTCACCAGGAAAATTTCTATGGCAATTTTGTACCATGAAGTAATTTGTTACAATTGTTTCTGAGAAACTTATTATAACTCTGATCTTCTATTGAGAATAAAAATAAATGTCCATTTTATACCTCACATGTCTTGTTAGTTGCTCATGACTGGAAGAACTTGCATGCATTTTATCCTAGAAGGTTTAAATAATATACCAAAGTGATTTTCTTCCAAAGCTAATTTCATGTGTGACTTAATTTGAACAGTGTAATTTTAATAAAAAGAATAATAAACAAAATATTAATAGAAGTTGTGAGCCTGAACAATGATTATGTAAATACATAACTATTATTATTATTATTATTGCTGCTGCTTTGGCTTTGAGATGACTATTTGATGTTTTGAGAGAGCATTGTGTTTTAAAATCAAGAATACAAATCTTCTGGGGCGCCTGGGTGGCTCAGTTGGTTAGGCGACTGCCTTCGGCTCAGGTCATGATCCTGGAGTCCCGGGATCGAGTCCCACATCGGGCTCCCTGCTCAGCAGGGAGTCTGCTTCTCCCTCTGACCCTCCCCCTTTCATGTGCTCTCTCTCTCTCTCAAATAAATAAAATCTTTAAAAAAAAGAAGAATACAAATCTTCTGAAGCTAAATACTATTAGTAAGTACCTATTGTTCCTTGAGCTTTTAAATAGCCTATTGCCTTAATTCAAATTATAACGAATGTTGTATACCCATTCATCCCCAAATCTCACTGCCATGAGTTTACTTCTCTGTGTTAAACACCTTTTTTCTTTTTCTTTCTTTCTTTCTTTCTTTTTCTTTCTTTCTTTCTTTTCTTTCTTTTTCTTTCTTTCTTTCTTTTCTTTCTTTCTTCTTTCTTTCTTCCTTTTCAGTTAGGTTTTTTTCTCTTACCAATTGAGAATTTTTATTGGTTTGTTGATTCACATGATTTTATAATGTAGTGTGCAATGTTTCACTGTCCTAAAGTAAAATGAAATACTGGCTTTATTTTAAATTAAATATGAAGAGTGTACAGTTTATATAATATTGAATACTTTTTGCATATTTTCAATTATCTTAATTTCTTTTGTTGCCAGATGAGTTTAATGGGGAAAAATGAGATACACCTCAACACCTGCCATATCATTTTTCACTTGTTTATGTGATAAGTACTTACTTTTTTTAAAAGATTTTATTTGAGAGAGAGAGAGCATGGGGGGGGGAGGGTCAGAGGGAGAAGCAGACTCCCCGCCGAGCAGGGAGCCTGATGTGGGACTCGATCCCGGGACTCCAGGATCATGACCTGAGCCGAAGGCAGTTGCTTAACCAACTGAGCCACCCAGATGCCCTGTACTTATTAAACTTACTAAACCTACTCTGTGCCAGATAACTGTTCTAGCTACCAAGGATACCCTGGTGAGCAAGACAAAAATTCTCCCCTCTTGGTACTTACCTTTTAGAGGGGAGCCAGACAATAAACAAGGAAATGGATGAATAATTTTAGATAGTGTTACGAAGAAAACAAAGCACAGTAAGATGTTAGAACATAACTGGGGTGGGGGAGAGGGTTTGCTCTTTTAGGTAGGGTAATCAGGAAAGGCCTCTCTGAAGGTACAATATTTGATCAGAGACCTGGATGATCAGAAGAAGCAATCATGTAATGATTGGAGGGAAGAGCATTCCACCTGATAGGAATGGCAGGTGCTCTGGTATTTGAGGAACAACAAGGAGGCTGGGGTGGCTGGAGATAAGGAACTGAGCAGAGAATGATAGGAGATTGGAGTGGTATACAGGACCAGACCGTGTAAGGCATTTGCTATCACTATCAAGAATTTTTATCTTATTCTGGGCTTAAATTCTATTTTAAATGTATTTTATGGCTGGTTTATCTGCCAGTATTTATTTCTTATACTTAGAAAACATAATTGGATTCATACATAAAGTCAGGGAAGATAAGAGAGATGTATCAAGAGTGTGTGAATATAAGGCTTGTTCTGTCAAAAATATTGGGAATTCTGGAGAGATGATGGTGGTGATGGTGTCATTTTCTTTCAAATCTCCCCAAATTTCCCTATGGAAACAAATAGAGCAGTTCCTATGCTGCCAGTGGCAAGAAAGCTTGTATCATAACCCTCCCATGGGTAACATACATAGAAAACAAGTAACTTTGACAGACCTGGGGAGCATCAGAAGCAAGTAGAAGCAGCAAGTCCGCCTTAAAAGAGGTGAACTGCAGTGGGTGAGATGGCCTTTGCATGCCTTCGCACCTGAGTGCACTCCTCATTCCATGCTGTGAGGCGCAGCTAGAACTCAAGCAGAAAGTTGCCATCTTACTGGCTTGAGGAGTCAGAGTTGAAAATGAAGGGCTACTGGAGTGAAAAGTGGTGAGGCAAGTCATGGAAAAGTAGAAGCCACTAGAGGAAAGGACCAAAATCTGCTTATAAACCACCCAAATCCTGGTCTAATCACTGAAGTACACACATGTTGCCTGGAGAGACCTCAGGGGCCCCAGCAGAAAGCTACAGTTGGAAGCCTTGGCTTAGCTGCTACCCATCACAGAGGAAGCAGAGTTTGGAGTTTATGAGTGCAGCCAAGTTAACTGGCCGTTAGAACAAAATCCATCATGCTTTAGAATAAGATGACAGAATTTATCATCTAAAATGCATACAATATTAAGAATTACTAGTCATGTGGAGAAATTGGAAAAGTGTGATCAATAATCGAGACAAAAAGGAAGCAACCCCAGGATAACCAGAACTTGTAATTAGCAGACAAGAACTTTATTTTTTAAAAAAGATTTTATTTACTTGAGAGAGAGCACGCACAGAGGGAGAGGGAGAAACGGACCCCTGCTAAGCAGGGAGCCCGATACAGGGCTCCACCCCAGAACCCCGGGATCATGACCTGAGCTGAAGGCAGACACTTAACCAACTGAGCCACCCAGGTGCTCCCCCCTTTTCTTAAGATTTTATTTAGCAGACAAGAACTTTAAAAGAGCTGTTACAAATGTGTTCAAACCTGGAAATACAGCAATACTGAATGAAGAGGTGAGGAATCTCAAAAGAGAAAAAGAAACTATAGAAAAGAACCAAATGGAAATTCTGGAGCTGAAAAGAGACAAGCTATCAAAACTGACACTAGAAGAGGCAGAGGGGGCGGAGCAAGATGGCGGAGGAGTAGGAGACCTGGATTTCATCTGGTCTCAGGAATTCAGCTGAATAGGGATCAAATCATTCTGAACACCTACAAACTCAACAGGAGATCGAAGAAGAGAGTAGCAACAACTCTCTGAACAGAGAAGCGACCGCTTACTGGAAGGTAGGACGTGCGGAGAAGTGAATCTGAGGCAATATTCGGAAGGATAGACGGCAGGGGCGGGGGCCTCCGTCGGCCGCTTCTGGCAAGTGCTAGAGCCGCGGAGCACAAAATCGGAACTTTTAGAAGTCGGCTCCGCTGAGGGACGTCGCTCCAGTCGCTAAGCGGGGGGTGGAACCCTCGTGGGACAGTGTGGTCTCAGGACCCTCGGGGTCACAGAAAAACCAGGGGCAGCAGAGCTCCCAGGTATCGGAGCGGGGAAGCCGGCTGCAGAGACGGAGCCGAGGCGCGGGCTCTCAGCTTGGGGTGGCCATAAACGGATCCGCGGCCCAGTCGGGCGACTGCTCCTCCAGCAGGGACCCAACAAGCGGCAGATCCGGGGAGACTCCCC